GGCCTCAAAGGCCCAGTATATCTGAAGGAGCATCTCCACCTCCATCGCTCTGCCCGGACACTGAGGTCTAGCTCTGAGGCCCTTCTGGTGATTCCCTCCCTGCAAGAACTGAGGTTACAGGGAACCAGGCAGAGGGCCTTCTTGGCAGTGGCACCTGCCTTGTGGGACGCCCTCCCACCAGATGTCAAAGAGAAGAACAACTACCAGATTTTTAGAAGACATCTGAAGGCAGCCCTCTTTAGGGACGCTATAACGTTTAACAGACTGCTGTATTTTAATGCTTTGTTGGAAGCCGCCCAGAGTGGCTGGGGAAACCCAGCCAGATGGGCGGGGTATAAATAATAAATTCTTTTCTGTTCCAAAGAGTATGTCCAGGAGAACGCAGGAGCTGTGACTCCAGCTGCTTCACGTCACCTTTCCCTCGAATGACAACACAGTTGAGTGGGGGAATGGGCAGCTGGATGGCAGCAGCTGGGCAGCATTATCCAGTTGCCCAGAGTAGCTACATGAAAGGCAATGTGTGGATCTGTTGGGGGAGAGATCTCAAGCCATTAATGAGTGGAAGGGAGTAGATGCTAGAAGAGGGGAAAGAACAAGACAGTTGAAAGTAGGAGGGATGGTGGGATGGCTTCAATTAGAGTCAGTCAGGAAAGAGATTCGTCTTGGGGGAGCCCACAGTGGTGAGCCAGTAAGGAAACATGGCAAGATACTTTGGGCAATAGATATTGGTCATAATATAGACATGGAAGAATGGGAACGACTGTGGGATATGGATATGAAATTTACAGCACATTATGGTCTAAGAGAAAATGATATGAAAATGATATATTGATGGTATCTAACACTGAGTATGTTGGCAAAAATGTATAAATCTAAATCAAATAAGTGTTGGAAATGTAAAGAGAAAGAAGGTTCACATTATCATATGTGGTGGTCTTGTAGTAAGGTTAAAGCTTACTGGGAAATGATATATAATGAAATGAAAACGATATATAAAATAACCTTTGTATTAAAAAAACAACAACCCAGAAGCTTTTCTTTTGGGAATTATAGGGACAGAACTACCCAAAATGTATAGAAACTTATTTATGTAAGATACTACAGTGGCAAGAATGTTACATGCCTCAAAATGGAAAGAAGCAGAAGTCCCAGCAAAGGAAGAATGGGTACAAAAACTTATGGAATGTGCAGAAATGGCGAAACTTTCCGGAAGAGTAAGAAATCAAGATAACACTTTTCTAATAAAAGAATGAAAATGGTTTGTTGAATATTTACAGATAAATTATAAACAGATGAAAACATTGGCAGGATTACTGTAATAACCTGCAGTTTTATAAGAGGCTATATTTAAAGAAGATGAGTAAATGAGCAAATAAAGTTAATTTGGATATGCAGAGGATACTAAAAACAAATTTAAGGAACCACAGAAAGAGGGGGACGGAAGTCAAATTCTGAAATGTCAAAATGATTGAAAAATTAGTGAAATGTATAAACTTGAAAAGTATGTATAAATGTATGTATGTATGTATGTATGGGAACATGGCAGAATACTGTGGGCAGGGAAAGAGAACCACCACCTGTTGGGACTTTGGCAAGGTCCCCAAGTCCTGTTGAAGTTTTCCTAGGCGACCGAAACTCCTTGGGTCCAGAACGCTTCCGAGTAAGGTAAAGGGATGTGATGGCCTGGGAATCTGATTCAGAGGCTGAACCGGAGGAATCCCAGCCTGCACAGGAGTCCCCGCCTCCAGAACCAGCTGAGCCGGGGCAGGGCCTTGAATCTGAAGGGCCCGCACCTGTGCCAGATCCTCAGGAGCAAACACCAGCTGAATCTGCTCTGGCTCCGGAGGTGATGGAGGACCCATTGCTTGCAGGTGCGCCTCTCCCAGCCCTGTCAAGGGAAGGTTAAGCTGCCCCTGGGTCCAGTAACCCTCCAGCCTCTCCTGAGCTGCAGAGGCTGAGGCAGAGAGGCGGAGGGAACTAAGTTCTCTCAGGAGGAGTGCTCGCCTTAAGGCCAGGAGAGGTGGGTCACCTGTGGGCCGGGACCGCCCCTGGCCTCAGAGGAGATAAAGGCCAGTCAGCCCAGGCCCAGGTTGTGGGAGCAACGTCATTGGAAACCTGTTTCTGCCAGCACCCAGACTTGTTCTTCCGGAGTTCCCAACCATGCCCGGCTTCTTGCTTTGGACCCCGCTTCGCCCTTGGTGGACAGACTCCAGACCCTCGACCCAGGACCGGACTCTGACCACACCTCACGGTAACCACCACCCCCCCAGGACCAGCACAAGGGACCCCTGACCACTAGGTCCAGTCGTGGCCGACTCTGGGGTTGCGGCGCTCATCTCGCTTTATTGGCCGAGGGAGCCGGCGTACAGCTTCCGGGTCATGTGGCCAGCATGACTAAGCCACTTCTGGTGAACCAGAGCAGCGCACGGAAATGCCGTTTACCTTCCCGCTGGAGTGGTACCTATTTATCTACTTGCACCTTGACGTGCTTTCAAACTGCTAGGTTGGCAGGAGGAGGGACCGAGCAATGGGAGCTCACCCCGTCACAGGGATTCGAACAGCCAACCTTCTGATCGGCAAGTCCTAGGCTCTGTGGTTTAACCCACAGCACCACCCGCGTCCCACGCTTCTGAGTACCAGGCCGCTTTTTAGCAGAGTATCAGCCAGCCTCCAAGCCTGTAGGAGTTCCAATTCTAGCACGTAATGCAGAAATAAATCACAGGAAACAATCGAGCACAGTCAGGAATCTTTGCTGTCGGTCTGAAGTGTAAGGGTTGCAAATTATACAAGATACAGTCATCTGTTAGATCCCTGATAGAGGTTCAGCTCAAACGCTCTGGGCCTAGCCCTAAAAGCTGCCAGACCCTCTCTCACATCTTAACAGTACGAGAGCAGATTTTAGACTAAATATCATTCTTTTGTCCAGGCCAGAAGCTGCGCATGCTTGGAACATTCTTCAGAGTGAATGACCTTGCATCTGTTTTAAACAACCAGTTTTGTGCAGCTTCTGGAAACTCACACAGTGCTGTTTCTGGAAATGAATGATTCTCACCCCAACAATTTTTCCCCAATCCAGAAAGGGAGTTCAGGCTCTTTGAACTGGCTAAAGGCGCCTTCTGATGTGCATGGTGGATCTACCAGCTGCATTGTGCAAGGAATTGCTTGAATTTGAATTTTGCTTTCAAACCTAGCTGTGAGAAGATACCGAAACAGTCACTGTTTGGGTAGGAATCATAGTAAAAAAACAACAAAAAAAAGTAATAATGAAATAATCTAAATGTTGCATTGTTGCCCAGCATGCATCCTTATCTATGGTGGAAACAATGGTGATGCGCACTGCACTTCCTGTTGAAAAACACTTGCACTTTCATGCTTCAGGGGTTTTTTGCGTGTGCTTTTCGTTCTGGCTTCTCTCTCCTATTGTTTTCTGTACAGACAGGCGGATGGTTCCAACGCTCTTCCGCCGCTGCTCTTTTATCCCAGTAAATCAGTTCTTTCTATCTGAGACTGTAATAACTCCTCAAAACGTGCCACCTGTAATTACTGAAATTGCAGAACTTTTCTGTAATTGCTATAATTATGTGCATTGTAAGCTCCCCCCCACCCACCGCCCGATGTTCTATTTCCAAGCAGGTTGATTGACATGGAGACTTTGTCACTAAGTGAGCACTTGCAAGTCCTCCAGCTCAAATCTGTTAGTTTCTCTGAAACAGGCCACAGATGACAACAGCAATAGCTTAACCTCATGGGCAGCTTCTTGTACGCTGTATTTTTTAGCTAGAACAAAAAATAATAATAATTCTTTAGTGGTGTTTTTATTTACATGGAGATAAAAGAGTGTACTGACTGTGTGAGATGACCTTTCAGCTGGGCTGCCCTAAAGTCAAGCAAGAGGACTCGGGTTAAGTTCAAGTACCTTCTTTATTCCATAGCAATACACATACAGGAGCCTGGGTCACGCAAATAATAGACCAGGGTTAGGCAACCTAAGGCCCGTGGGTCGGATGTGGCCCATTCGCCTTCTCAATCCGGCCCCCGGACGGTCCAGGAATCAGCGTGTTTTTACATGAGTAGAATGTGTGCTTTTATTTAAAATGCATCTCTGGGTTATTTGTGGGGCATAAGAATTTGTTTGTATATTTTTTCAAAATATAGTCCGGCCCACCACATGGTCTGAGGGACGGTGGACCGGCTCACGGCTGGAAAAGGTTGCTGACCCCTGTAATAGACTAACACATTCTAACTCAGCGGTGGAGAACTTGCAGCTCTCTGGATGCTGTTGCACTACAACTCCCATCATCCCTCAGAACTCACCATGCTGACTGGGCCTGATGGGAGTTGGAGTCCAACAGGATCCAGAGAGCAATTAGTTCTCAACCTCTGACCTAAGCAGCTCTGGCCAAATTAAAGACTCTTTGTGACCCCATGGATCAGAGCATGCCAGGCACTCCTGTCTTCTACTGCCTCTCGCAGTTTGGTCAAACTCATGCTGGTAGCTTCGAGAACACTGTCCAACCATCTCGTCCTCTGTCATCCCCTTCTCCTTGCACCCTCCATCTTTCCCAACATCAGGGTCTTTTCCAGGGAGTCTTCTCTTCTCATGAGGTGGCCCAAGTATTGGAGCCTCAGCTTCAGCTTCAGCTCCAGACAATAGAACAACTCTTTTTTGCTTATCTCTGTGCCTGCGATCTCCTGGGTGATGCAAACGCTGTTAGGCAGTTGAATGTACATGCGTACTCTGTCTGTTTCCCTCCCTCCCCACACTACTCCATGTGGCCCCAGGCGCTGGCAACCCGTGCTACGCCACTGGTCCGGATATTAGGAATCAAAAACAGCCCTGATGTTAGATATATGACCATCAGTTATACTTGTATCACACTAGGGGGTGTTGTGTGGCACTGGGGTTTAAGTCTCTGGCAGTGATTAGCTGAGTCACTCTCATGTCACAGAGCAGCAGTGGCTCATGGAGCAGGTGGCAGCAGTGTGCTCTCACCAGAAGAATTGTGCCCATCAGGGCAGGGCAAGGCAGCAGTGGCGAGATCAGGGAGCTTTGCAGCCATGGCCCCATGGATGTATACAAACCTGTGGGGCCACCACTGCCAACCTGAAGTTCCCTCAACCTTGCTACTACTTCACCCCATGCCAGTGCATGCAGTCCTGACAATTAAAAACAAGTTGAGGTGTGCTGGCAGCCATTCGTGGAGCATCAACAAAACAGAAGAAGCCAGGATTGGGAGCATGTTGTTTGTTTGCGTTAGCTACTTTTACCCCAGGATTAGAGTTTCCTGTTAGGATCGATGCCAGCAATGAATGGCAGCCGGCTGTAACAAGCCACACCCTCCCAAATTAAAGTTCTGCAAATGTGGGAGAGAAACTCGTTGGCTTGAAATGAAGAATTAGCCCTACTCAAGCATTGACCTGAAAGCAGGTATGTTCCACAGCGTGTCATTGTTGCAATAATAGTGCATTTGCAGTAGATTTATATTGTTGTTGTTTTTTGTATATATTTTTTATTTATTTTCCATATAATAATATACATTCACATCATTTTTATCCACTTTACCTCCCTGGCTCTTTAGAGCCTATTGACTTCCTTCCCTTCCCTCCTCATGGCTTTCAAAATTAACCTTTATACCATTGCATTTTGTACCCTTTCTAATTCCAATGACACTCATTACAAAATAGCTCAAAATTTGAATAAATATAGAAAGGTAGAAAACTTCTCATTACAAATCTTCAGATAACCTTGCTAGTGATGTTAATTGCTTACAATAGTCTTTCAGATATCATATGAATTTACTCCAGTCCTTTTGGAATACTTGATCATGCTGGTTTTGGATTTTTCCTGTCAGCTTCACCAGTTCTGCAAAGTCCATCATCTTCATCTGCCACTCTTCTTTCATTGGTAGTTCTTGTTGTTTCCATTTTGGGGCTAAAAGAATTCTTGCCGCAGTTGTTGCATACATACCGTATTTTTTGCTCTATAAGACTCACTTTTTCCCTCCTAAAAAGTAAGGGGAAATGTGTGTGCGTCTTATGGAGCGAATGCAGGCTGCGCAGCTATCACAGAAGCCAGAACAGCAAGAGGGATTGCTGCTTTCACTGCGCAGCGATCCCTCTTGCTGTTCTGGCTTCTGAGATTCAGAATATTTTTTCTTGTTTTCTTCCTCCAACAACTAGGTACGTCTTATGGTCTAGTGCGTCTTATAGAGCGAAAAATACGGTAAACAGTCTTTTATCTTCCCTTGGTATCTCTTCACCAACAATACCCAATAAAAAGGCTTCTGGTTTTTAACAAAAGTGTTTTTAAATATTTTCTTTAACTCATTATATACATCATCCCAGTTCATTAGTTGTTACAACATTATTGCTGTCTGGAGGAGCAAAACATAAACCGGAATGTTTGTGGTATAAAATGTGACAGGATTTCAGAAGGACTCTTTGAGAACATGCAATGATTGACAGTGGAGCAACAAGTCTGCATACATGATGATTTGTGCTTATAATGGTATAATTCCTCGCGATCTTGCTTTCAGCCCTGCCCCCACCCCACACAACAGCACTGAAAGCGAGATGGTGTGTAACTTCCCTGATAGCATTATAAGCACCACAAGCATCATAAATGTGGAATAAAAAGCACATCTAGAGGCGCCACTAAGCGTGCTCAGCAGGACACAGGAAAATCTACAGCAGAAGTTGTGTGTTTGCCTCCTTCTCTCCCCTTAGTTTGAGCCCACACACTTTCATGTGAATGTCTGATTAGGGCTGTTGCGTTCCTGTTATATTTCAGGTAATGCCAACTTGTTAAATGCTATCAAAAACAAAGCATCCCCCTTTCAGAACTATTCTTTTTAAAACTCTGGCTCTCTGCCTCCCCAGAAGAATATGTGAGTTTAGTGGGTGAATATGATTCATCAGTGTCTTTAATTGGGCATGATATTCTTGAATCCTGCTTATTACTGATGATTTCTTAGATACTCTTTTTTTATTTTAAAAACCCAACTGCACAGTTTTCTGAACTTTGCACATTGCGCAAAGACGAGAATATAGTTCTACATTTGCAATGATGAAATGTGGTTTTGTGATGTGGGGAAAGGACAATAATTGCTTATTGTGAGTTTCTCCCATGTTTTGTCCCCAGGGACCTCGATGAAATGCTGTATCTCGCTGTTCTCTAAATCTACAGAACTTTACCATCTGGCTGCTTGGAATGTCATAGCGAGGGATCTAACATCTCTGAGTACACAGTCCTCTTTTTCTGGTTGTGGAGATCGTTAGCTCCTCTGACAGTCCTGGGCTTCCTAGCAGGAAAGCAATTAAAGCAGCTGAGCACAGGGTAAAGGCAGCTCCATTGGCACCAGAACCAAATGCAGACTATTTTTAGCTCTGTTATAAGTTGACTATATGAATTTAGAATGATGGAAATGGGAAAGAAAGCCGTTTTTGGCAATGTCTGCTCCTGTTTACAATCTTTCCTCCCTGGCAAGGAATTTCCATGTTGCTATAGCAATCTTACAAAAATCAGGTTCACCCAGGCCATTCCAAACCCCCCCCCCCTTTTCATGGCTAATTTAGTGATGCCGTGACTTGGAACTTTTCAAAGGGGAAACTTAAATTATTTAGTCTTCTCTGAGCTCTGTGGTTCCCATGAAATGTGCTCTGCCCGACCTTAGCAGACAGAAGAAGATTGTGCCTTGTATAGCAAGGGTTGGGAATGTCAAGCCTGGGGGGCCAAATGCGGTCTGCTTGACCCTTCCGTCTGGCTGGTCACGTCCTCCACTAGCCCTGCTTAGTGTCATCCACGAGTGTTTTTGGCTAGCTGGAAAGGGAAAATGCCTCTTCCTCACCTTCATGGAGAGACTCGTGTGTGTGTGTGTGTGTGTGTGTGTGTGTGTGTGTGTTGGTGTGTGCACATGAACCATTGACCCCATGTGGCCAAAATGTGGCCTACTGTACAAAGGTAAAAGTCCATCTCTTGCTCTGCTCATTTTTGCCTCTTGCCCCAGCCCCCCTCCCTGGTATGTGGCCCCCTAAATGTTGCTGCCAAGAAATGAGGCCTTTGTCATTCCTATTTTCCTAGTAAACCCCCTCAGGAAGAGGTGCTTTAAACTGGTGCCTGAGCAATTTGTCACAATGGCTGAAAATGGATGCAGCTTCACGACAAAGGTGGTGACAACTTGTGCGTTTATTTGGCCCACTCAGAACAATTCTGCATGCGTGCGCACACATAACCCAAGACTGCAGATGGGGCTCGTGTCTCCTTTGATGCTTCCTTGCTTTGCTGCCAGCAGTTCCAGCAGCTGCAGCTTTCCCCAGCTATAACTATAGCCTGCCACCTGCCCAATTCCCTTCCTTCTGCGAATGCTCCATTTCCCTCCTCCCCAAGCCAGCCAGGAACAGGACTGGCAAGAGAACTGGGCAAAATTTCAGCTATGAGTGTAGAGGTAAGGAAAGCTACGCTGCCTGGGAACTGGCAGGGCATCTGCTTGGCATAAAGAAGGGTCCCAGGTTCAGTCCTAGCATCCCTTGGTGAGATCCCTGCCTGAATTCCGCAAGAGCTGCTTCCAGTCAATGTAGATAATTCTGTGCTGGGTGGGCCAACTGTTTAACTCAGTATAAGGTAGATTCCTTTGTAACTGTGAATACCAACATTGCTCTTAAAGGGGTGGGTCTCTTGACTAAGGGCAAATCTACACTGGTCAGTTATGACATTAAAAATGTGTTATAAAAATGTGACACCAAAGGCCGCTGTAGAGCAGCAATCCGTCATCAATGGGAAATTTCATTGAGAGCCATTATTCCATATTTTTAACAATCAGTGTAGATCCAGCCTAAGTCCAGATCTGGTGATCATATGGATAGATATCCGTTCTTGGCATGTAGCCAAGCTATTAAGGGGATCTCATCTGTTGCTTTTTCCATTTCTTTCATTGCTTTTTCTTAAAGTGTTTGCACACCCAGATTGTGTTATGCATTCATGTTTCACAGTAGAGAAAGCCATTTCCTCCACCACCCCCAGTGGCTAGATTGTTAGGCTGGAGATATACATTCCCACTCAGTGATGAAGCTCCATTAGCAAGTCCTTACCTCTGAATAAAGTACCTCACAGGATTGAACATAGGCAAAACAGCAAATGAAATCCCTTAGAAGGCGGGCTTGATCAGCCAGCCCATCCAATGACCAAAGATCAGTAGGCACATCAGAGAAATCCTCCGGACTTCAGACCTCAGGTGAGCACACATTCATGCCCTCCAACATTTCTCCTATAAAAATAGGGACGTCCTACTCCACAATAATAATTTTATTATTTATACCCCACCCATCTGACTAGGTTGCCCCAGCCACTCTGGGCAGCTTCCAACATATATAAAAACAAAATAAAACATTAAACATTTTAAAACTCCCCTATACAGGGCTGCCTTCAGATGTCTTCTAGGTATCTCCTGGGCTTGGGGATCACATAACTCCCTACCCTCCAGCATTTCTCTGATGAAAACAGGGACATCCTACCATACCCTCCAACATTTCTCCAATGAAAATAGGGACGTCCTAAGGAAAAGCGGGACATTCCAGGATCAAATCAGAAACTGGGATAGGTTCTGTAAATCTGGGACTGTCCCTAGAAAATAGGGACACTTGGAGGGTCTGTACATTGTGTCAGCCTGGCCGTTACCTTGAAGGTGAAGTCTCTGAAATAGGTATCAAGTGGTCCTTCTCCAGGCCCACATAGCAGACAGGCTCCTCATGAGAAAAGCCTGTACCCTGGAGGAAAACAGACCACCAGATTCCTCAATAGAAGCACTGATTTGCACTCAACATTGAGGGGGGGCTTCATGCGTGCGCCACCCCCTCCAACTGAAAAAGAACTCAATCCCCTCCAATATTAATTGAATGTGAATATTGAATGTAAACATCCAACCCGGCCAAGCTGACTCAGCCCACCATCCCTCACACATACCCCGCTGCCACCCTATCTACATACACAGAAAATTGTGGAGCAGAATGGCTCACACCCAGTAGAAAGCTATCAGGACATAGTTTCTCAGTGGCCTGAACAAGATAAAAATTTCCTTCTAGGCACCTGCCCCCTACTCCAATTACGAGATGCTCAGAATTGAAAACAAATGAAACTTGCTTTTTAAAAAGAAAAGGAGCTCGTAGAGGTTAGCATGTTGACTTTCCTAAATTAAGCACAAATGCCTGGATGTATAATCACATTCAATTAATGTTAGTCTCTGACCCTGACAATACGGCCTTGTCCTCTTCTATGTTCACTGGGTGGAATTTATGCCACATTTTTGAATATAATGAGCAGGTATTATTAGCAATGCAAGTCCCTACATCCCTTTTAGTCTGAGTTGTTTTAACTGCTTCCTACGTGTCTCTGTAGCCATAGAAAGGGTTTTACATTTTTCTACTAGCTGCAAAGGCTGGTGGTTTGGAGACAAGCATGTGATTAAGCAGGAATGACCAATCCCAGAACAGTTTAGTCTGTGCGTGGGTGATAAGCAGCTCAAATGGAGGTATCAGGCAACAGTAAGCAACTCAGTTAGGAACAGGTGGAGCCCTATTGGTCCCTTGTGTCACCTGACCCTTGCTTAAGTGGTAGGTGCAATACCACCTCCTGACCATCTGCAGTGCTGGTACTGCAATGCAGTGGAAAGCAGGCCAGTGATTACTCATTTAGGAAACTAGCAATGGTCCTTCTGCTAGATCCTGCAACTCAGGATCCCCCTTGCACTGTACATCAGTGTCGTGAGTTACTGTATATTGTGCTTATGTTGCTTCCAGAAGACTCAGAGATTGTAGGCTAATTCACATCCACATGATCTCCAACTGATGGCTGCAGCATCAAGTGATGACTTGTATATGTGAAAGAGCTATTGCAGAAACCCTCCATTTTTACTCAGATTGTAGCAGAAACATGGAGAACTGAATTTAAGATTAGAAAAATGAGAATTGGAGAGAACCCAAATTAACAGTTTCACCCTACCTTCGGTCTCCTTGAGATGTTTCGGGGGGGGTAGTTCTCCCTTCCCTCCCTTTTGGGTGTAGGTGGTGCTGTTTTGGCAACATAAACAGCGGCACGCACAGCCTGAACATTGGGAATAGAATGCTGACAGGATTCTCGACTGTACCACTTCAGGATGCAGGTTGAGAATTTATATTTATTCTTCCATTGAGGGGAGGAGGAAGAATCTCTCTGCAGTAAATTAGGACTGCCATACATCTGGATTTTCTCGGACATCACCAAGATTTCAAAGGCAGAAATGGCTCCTGGGGGAACAACTTTCAGGTTTTCCTTTAAAAAGCTCAGCAATTTTGGGGTCTTCCCAAGATTGGTTTTTACTTTTGGAATATGGCAACCCTAAGTAACCCTCAGTGAGAATGATTTAACACTTTTACTACAAGCTACAATATGGGGAAACCCAGTCAGATGGGTGGGGTATAATTATGATGATGATGATGATGATTATTATGCTATAGTACTACACAGGAGTTTGTGTATGTGTGCATTGGGAGGAGGGAGGGGGCATTCAACAATATATTCCCCTCCATACAGTCGTATGGTCCAGAATTATACCAGCTCTGTGTAACATCTCATTCTACATAAACATACAGATAGACTTAGGTCTTGCTGGGTTTTGTGCCAGCTGCATCCATCTGATTCCAGCAACAAAACAAGTCAGTCCGATGGCTGCCCAGTACTGGGGAGAAGAGAAAGTCTCTCCCAAGCTAACAAGCGACTGAAAGGGAGAGTAGTCTGCTGCAATGGAAAACTCTGTGATCAATGCCAAAGGAAATGGACAGCGTTCATTGTGCGAGTGTGCGCCAGGAAGGAACAGCTGTGCTATGTGTGTGCCATGGAGGGGCCATCTGCACAATGTATTCCGCCCCAGCTGCACAGAGAAAGAGCATATAGCTAGATGACATTTCAACAGAAAGGGCTCTCTACACAAGAGGCAGTTTGTTTCTCTTTGAAAACCTTATCTGCTGCATTCATCCAGGCCACAATTATACCATTGTCCCAAAACACTGGTTAGATCAGATCATAACTATTGGACATCCTGGCCTAAATGGCACAGGAAAGAACTCTCTAGCCAGGCATTAAAAGGGCATATGGCCTGTGGCGTTTGCCCTCCTAGGTGGGTCATAAGGAAAGGGTTAAATGAGTGTGAAGTGATTGGCCAGTGGGAACCCAAGGGGAGGAGTTAGAGTTAGAGTTGGAGTTGTTGGGAAGTCGGTTGGGAGTTGGAGAAGGAAGAGGGAGGATAAGTCTGTGGGTTTGTCGAGTTTTGATGTGAGAGAGTGAGAGAAACTGTTAGGAGGAGTCAGATAGACAGTTGGGATAATCAGTTAG